GAAATCATTATAGTTGGGGTCTCTTTTGACATCATGAATATAGTACTTTGTTTGAAAAAGTTATGTGACAAAAACTTAAATAGTTTTTTTTTGTTTTTTGACTATACTGAAAACTCGGGGATTTTTTGTAATAGTATATGATGACAAACGAGCACACAGTCCACCTGATGGTAAGTAGTTGCTGCGGCCCATAAGCGTCTACATCTATCCTCGATTAGGAATCAAAATGCAGATGCGTTGTCACCCGTGAGGACTAAGATGGAATGCCTCATTTCCAGTAAAAAGGGTCTCTAGTCTCTAGTTACTATTTCACGCTGGTATTCTGTTAGAGAGTGGTCCTTCCCCGGTTGAGCTGACCCATTTGTGCTACAACTATACTACTAACATAACTGCAGCATGGCTCTACCACTTTTTGTCCTTTACGACAATTGAAGTTTCTGGTATCGATATAATCCTGTCCTGCGCTGATGAATAGTTTCTGAGGTGACAGAAATTCTGTATGTACGACATTATAATCATTATAAGTACAAATTAAGTAGTTTTCCATATTTATGATGAACTTTTATATTTTCAGATAGTTGAGGATGAGGAGCCGATAATTGTTTGTTTCATCTGTCATGCAAGACTCAATCGTTGCAGAAGATTACAACAACAGGCTATTGAGTCAAATGCAGTACTGGAGCAGTTGCTTGCAGGAGTGTCTACGGTATTATTTCATCCATTAAAATCTAACGAATCAACGGCTGAACATAGGCCTTTCTTATAGAGTGCTTCATAGGAATTTTGCCAAATTTGCCATACTTGGTTACTTGGTAGGTTGGCAACCGCAGTTTATATTAACCTGATTTATCAGGAAAATGCTGCTGCCCAACTCCTATTTCTGTTTCCTATTTCGCTTTTTACGACACCCGTCTCTTGGATATTTTGCACATAAAAGAAATATATACATATAGGTAATATTACGCAATAAACAAATATAGATCTTTGTCAATTTAGGGCATTTGTGAATCTGATTCGAGAAATTGTTGAGATTTGATTAATGGGATAAATGATATTATTCTTTTTTAATGTTTATTCGGAACCCTCACTTTTGTCTCGTTTTATTATTAATTGAAGTTCATCTTCAGCAGCATCTTCATGACAACATCAAGATGCTGCTGCTTCTTTCACCTATTTAAAAAAAAATTGATTTCAGTCAATACTAAAACCGCTTGAGGTTAGAGATGAGATCCAATTCACACCAATTAATCTTATAGATATCAGGCCAGTAGAGTGTGATATAGAAAATGATTGTAAGGACGAAATTTTTAACCTTGATTCCGTTAAAGTTGAGGAAGAGAATTTCGAAAATGAGTATTCGGAATTTGGAGAAAATGGGATTCATGAAACGGGTAAGATTTTCTTGATATTGTTAAAATAATGAATGGACAAAAGATAAAGAAGGCTTCAAATGTAATGAACTGATTTGCCTTTGCTTAAATTCAAAGTGAATTTTAAAGCATTCTTATGGAGAAAGAAAATTACAAATTAAATAATTATTTAAAAGATAATCATGCATGGACATCATAATGAGCTACTTTAGACATTTTTTTAATTGTGTATAAATATATAAAAATATTTTGATCCTGTATTAAATGCAGCTAGTATGTACGTCACTATGATGTATTAATTTTAATAATAGAATGCAGAAAGTTATTATTAATACTGAAAGTTCTTCCTGGTCACCAAGGTGACCTATCAATAGGTCAAGGCCTAATTCTTGGCCTGTTTCTATGTCTAGTCTATAGTATTATTAATGACTTACCTTCCCTTGTAGGGGATAACCATGATATAGTATTATTTGCTGATGATAGTTCCTTGATAACAGCAAAACTGCAATAAAACTAAATATATTACAACATCTATATCAATGTGTTTTTAACCCTTAGCCAAGCCTTTATAACATATATATATATATATATATATATATATATATATATTCAAAACAATAAAATTCTTGTTTAATTTTTATATTTTATGTGGTCTCTATGACGCTACCCACTGTTGAAAGGAATTTGTGGTATGTATGTGACTACTGTATGGGAAGTTATCTACATGGCTTTTAAGGGTAAGACTACATTACTGAATCGTTGATAAAATAAAACCACACTGTAACATACTGTATGCTTATTAGTTTTAATTAAACTTATCATTTAAAAAACCTTTTAACCTTAATGGTTAAAAATATCAAAACAAGATGCTGCTCATACCGGCACTTGGCAGACCTTACACATAATTTGTGTTGTGGCTTCTATCTCATACTACAGTGCTGACAATGTTTCCTCATTCCGTTACAAGGCATATGAACACCAACATTTTTAACCCTTACGTTAGGCCTCAGGCCAGATTGAGCCTAAAATCTCTGTGGCTGCTGCTCGTCTTATCGTGAATTAGATTGTAAATAAATATGCATTTATGCAGGCCGCTTCAGTAAAGACAAACCCAATTTTTTTAGTTTACTTTCTTCAAATGGAGTCAGAAGATCTGAAGTGATTGAGCCTGTCAACACCACCCATACATTTTTTATAGAGTTCAATTGCCAATGGGTATGCCATTGGGGCTTTTTGACCATCTTTCTGAGTATGTTGAACGGTCACCACTTTTTTTGGATCAAAAGCTGTTGTGCAGATATACACATATTTGGTATCATGCTATTTTGTTACAGCAATAGGTGCAATATACTGCATCATAAATGCACCAAATTCAACAAATTTAAATTTCTTTTTTGTCATCCTTTTGAGGTAGAAGATGCGGTAGTAAACCTTTTCTGTTTAGTCTTACAGTGCCTACTGAAAAAATGTTTTTCTGATGCAGCATCCCTAGTAAAGGAAGGCTGCTAAAAGTCAAAAGCTACTAAGGTACCACTCTCAATTGTTCTGCATAATTCCTGACAACCTTATAGCCGAGTCTTCCATCACCTTCTACTACAGTTTCGCTTTTGCCGCTGTATACATTAAACTGATATAAATATCCTTCTTCTGAATTGCACTTAGCACATACTTAGTATCCTCTTCTTATTGATTTTGTTTGGCTTATATTGCTTTATTGAGTACCTTCCTTTAAATTTGACTGTAGTCTCATCCATATACTGTGCATGGGATCCAATACAATTATCTTTTGTTCAAAATATTCATAAATAGTCGAATTTTGCACAATTTATCATACCCTGATTGAGTATGGGCTGTTTTGGTAGCCTCAGTCAAGTGCAAGTTTTGTGTGAGTTTTTTTTTAAGTTTGCAGGTCATTACTGCACTAATGACAGAGTTGTGGTAAAAGGGATCGAAAGATCAATAGAATTCTAGTTCTGACAGATGATGTAGACCCATCATTAAACATGATCTTATTTCAATGGTATCTGTTGGAGTCTATTTCAACGAGTGCATGAATGGTGCATATGTGTTTGTATTTTCTGCTATGATATCGAAAATTTCACTAGGAAACATATCTAAGAAGTAGTGTATTGGAAGACTTCTGTTATTATAAGATTTTGCCGATTCCAGTTTTCGTGTGAAACTGGGAGCAGAAATCTACTTGTTTTCAGACCAGTGCCTGTTACCAGATCTTGTTAATCAATTCTTGCTATGTGGCATGTTGGTCTGCTGCTGAAGATGAGGGCTGATTGGTTGCCGCTAATGGTGCGTGTTGTTGGGTGGCCACTACACGGAACGTGAGGGCTGATGGGCGGCCGCTGAAGGTTAGGACTGATGGACAACCATCGAAGGTGAGAGCTAATGGGCTTAATGTCTAGTCCTCTTAGCAGCTGGAGGTACAATTTTTATGTCTATAGCTGGATGTGGGGGCTCATGGATGACTGCTGAAGGTATGGTTTCCACTATTACTGCTGGATGTGTGATTGACATGGCTGCAGCTTGCTGTGAGGGCTGATGGGTTGAGAGTCTAGGCTTTTAGCAGCTGGAGGTGTAATCTGTAAGGCTATAGCTGGTTGTGGAGGGCTCATGGATGACTGCTAAAGGTAAGGTTTCCACTATTACTGCTGGACGTGTGATTGACATGGCTGCAGCTTGCTGTGAGGGCTGATGGGATGAGAGTCTAGGCTTTTAGCAGCTGGAGGTGTAATCTGTAAGGCTGTAGCTGTTTGTGGAGGGCTCATGAATGACTGCTGAAGGTAAGGTTTCCACTATTACTGCTGGACGTGTGATTGACATGGCTGCAGCTTGCTGTGAGGGCTGATGGGTTGAGAGTCTAGGCTTTAGCAGCTGGAGGTGTAATCTGTAAGGCTGTAGCTGTTTGTGGAGGGCTCATGAATGACTGCTGAAGGTAAGGTTTCCACTATTACTGCTGGATGTGTGATTGACATGGCTGCAGCTTGCTGTGAGGGCTGATGGGTTGAGAGTCTAGGCTTAGCAGCTGGAGGTGTAATCTGTAAGGCTGTAGCTGTTTGTGGAGGGCTCATGGATGACTGCTAAAGGTAAGGTTTCCACTATTACTGCTGGACGTGTGATTGACATGGCTGCAGCTTGCTGTGAGGGCTGATGGGTTGAGAGTCTAGGCTTAGCAGCTGGAGGTGTAATCTGTAAGGCTGTAGCTGTTTGTGGAGGGCTCATGGATGACTACTGAAGGTAAGGTTTCCACTATTACTGCTGGACGTGTGATTGACATGGCTGCAGCTTGCTGTGAGGGCTGATGGGTTGAGAGTCTAGGCTTAGCAGCTGGAGGTGTAATCTGTAAGGCTGTAGCTGTTTGTGGAGGGCTTATGGATGACTACTGAAGGTAAGGTTTCCACTATTACTGCTGGACGTGTGATTGACATGGCTGCAGCTTGCTGTGAGGGCTGATGGGTTGAGAGTCTAGGCTTAGCAGCTGGAGGTGTAATCTGTAAGGCTGTAGCTGGTTGTGAGGGCTCATGGATGACTGCTGAAGGTAAGGTTTCCACTATGTGAAACTGCTGTTGATGTGATCTGTAAAGTAGGGGAAAATCTCCTTCTAAGACCTCTAGAAGGTCATCCTCCGTCAAATTTTGTAGCTGATCCAACACCTGGTTGATATCGTGTGCCGGGTACAGAAACGAGAATGTACCTACTTACACCTTCTTCCTCGTCAGACGTGTCATCCTTCAATGATGCATAAATTTCCTCAAAAGTCTTTTCAATTTCATCATCGCGAAGAACTCGCTGTCTGTGTGGTTTCTGCGTTTTCTGAAAAAATTAATATGATTTAGAAGAATATCTAACATTTTGTTTTGTTTTTTGAGGATTTGGTTTATTAACTGTGCATATATAGTGAAGTAGACGACCCCTTAAAAGCTATATTTCGCAGACACAAATGGGCATAGTGAAGTAGACGACCCCTTAAAAGCTATATTTCGCAGACACAAATGGGCAGAGGTTATGTAGGTTCTAATCACAAATTTTGGGTGTAAATATTTTACAAAACAAATACAATATATAACAATAATGTGATACGTCAAATAATATTGTGATACATCGAATAATTTGTTTTTATAGGATAGGGTGACAAATGAGCTCACAGTCCACCTGATGGTAAGTGGTTACTGCGGCCCATAGACATCTACATATATCCTCGATTACGAATCAAAATGCAGATGCGTGGTCACTTGTGAGGACTTAGGTGGAATGCCTCGTTTCCAGTAAAAAGGAAGAAAATATTACAGATATACATTCTTCTATACTATCATAAAATTACAAATTGCATTTACCTTACTTATTTTCGGCATAATCACTTTTTTGTCGTCCACTTACGTCCATAAACGATTCATTCGACAACAATTTGTGTTTGACAACCGAAATGTCAAAGAAATTGTTTCGTTAACCTGCTTTTTTCGATCAGAAATTGTGCTATAAACATAACAATGACATTTTGTGGTCTCTCGACATCTCGTAACGAAAAAATAAATTGCTAAAAATCACGAAAAAAATTGTGGTCGCTATGTGATCACAGCCTGGCTAAGGGTTAAATGACACAGTTTTTCTTAGCATCACTCTCGACACAAAGCTTTAGTGGGGCTAATCCAAACTAGCTATCAGAATAAGCTCTGCAGCTTATGCTGTAAAAAAGATTAGAGGTCTCACTAGTGTCAAGACAGCTAGATTAGTTTATTTCAGTTATTTCCATAGCATTTTTCGTAGGATTTGGCTATGGGGAAAAGCGTGTTATTTAAAATAAAATACCGAGAGAATCCCTCGGAGAAAAATTTAAAGAAATATATGAACTTTGTCCTCTCAGTATATTTACGAAAATTGTTTGTATGTTCACAAAAACAAAAGTAGTTTTAGTAAAAAAAGTGATATAAAGTGTAAACACTAGGGACAAACACAAGCTAGTGAGATCAGTTCCTCGACTCCAGTAATTCATTTTTGGGACAATGTATACGCTATTTACAACAAAGTCCCAGAAAATATACAAGGTCTCTCTATTACCAAGCTTAGAAATATTCTATTAAACACACTGTATAAAAAGGGTTATTATGATATAAATGAATAAGTGGTTGATATAACCCCTGCGAATGAGGTGGTCGCCTCCGTGATGTTTTTAAAATAAATTTTGTGAATAATTTGCACAAAATTTCATATTGTAAAATTTACTTTCAAAAAAATCCCGCTTGGTTTCTTGCTGGTTCTTCCCAGGGCAGAAGTTTTTTACGAACCAGTGCTATAATAGTCTTCGTGAAACTTTGCTTTTTTTTTGGCTTTATATGTTCATCTCAGCTTTATTGTACATGACATCTTTATGTTTTTTCGATTCCTTGTGTATTTGAGCTATTTGTTCTTTTTTATTTTACTACAAATGGTCACACTCTTGACCTACATCTGGCTCTAGGGCAAAGATGAGGTCTACGAGTTTGCCCAGGAGAAACCTATTAACACCTTGTAGAGATTAAGATTATACGCACTCGGGAAAACATACGCCGGCAGGGCATTCCACTCGTTGGCTGAGGGCATTATAAAAGATGACTTATAAGCTCTTAGTGCGAATATTCGGAATTTCGACTAAGTGTTGATTGTAACCTGTAGTACGTCTGGAACTCTAGTAGCAGAATGGAGATAGCGGTATGAGCTTATAAAGCTCATAGGTGCTCTATCCGAAGTAAAATCTGTATAGGACAGAAAAACAAGAAACTTGGCAGTGTTAAGCTAAATTGTGAAGCTTAGTTTCCATCAGCTTTTTGTTGCCGATAAGCATCTTGGTTTTGCGTTCCATTGAGTCGAGTGCGGCAATTTGATATTTTACTTAGCCAACCCAAAGGTGACTACAATACTGTCCAGGCGTGAAGTATCACTTCATCTTTCTTAGAATACCCAGTTTTTTACTGCAGTTTGTGCTTTACTCAATGTTACTGTCAAAGTTGAGGCTAGCACTCAACTGTATGCCGAAAAGCTCGAGATGATTAGTAACCTTTACAAATGTACCTCCGAAAGTAGGAGTCAGATCAAATGTTCAGTTATGAGTAGTAGAGCCATGCTGCAGTTATATTAGTAGTGTAGTTGTAGCACGAATGGGTCGGCTCGACCGGGGAAGGACACGCTCTCACAGAATACCAGCGTGAAATAGTAGCTTAATGCAGCTGTGTTTCGTATGGTGAGTGTAAATAACCGGAGATCCTTTTTACTGGAAACGAGGCATTCCATCTTAGTCCTCCTCATAGAGTACTATAATACATACACAATAGAACGGGGGAGTGGGCGGAGCCCGCGTAGCCACTAAAATATCACTAACATGTCAATTCACACGTATAAATGTCAACACGAGATGTGTTTTGACGTTGCAATCGTTTCCAAATTTGCCTTGCAAATTATTTAGAAAATAACAAATTGCACGCTATTTACAAATAATTATGAATTAAAATCTGTCTGTCAACACAGCGAATCGGGTTTGTAGTAGTGATAATACGACGTAATTGCTTGTATGTGTGCTTGTGCGTGTAACGTATGGTTGCGTACTAATTGGAGAGTATCAATAAAACTTCAGGAGCCCGATATACGTGTGTTTATTATGATACACAAATTGATACTGCTTAAATATTGATTAAACATAATATAGGCACAGTACACCCCCCTTTATAAAAAAATAATAGCTATATGCTATAAAATTAAATGTATTCATTTTATCCCCTTTATAAAAAAACAAATGTAGAAAAAAATAGTTACATGAAAAATATTACTATCTATAATGCCGTATGACGCACTATTCTTTTTTTACTTTTACCACACTATCACTTTATCACTACTCTATAACGTGCTGTGGGGGGCGGCTGTCGAAGCCCGGCTCCCCCGCGCCGCCCGCGCGCAGCTCCAGCCGCGGCAGCTCCATCAGCTCCCGCCGTAGGTACCTGGCGTACCCCGTCTTACAGTAGCGCCACACTACGTACAGTATAGCCAGCAGGATGCATGTAATTATTATGAGGAGGTATGTCTCCTGCCGCACATGCACCGGTAAGTGAGTCTCGCTCTGCGCCGTGGCGGCGCTATTCCCGGCGCCGCTCTGCGCGATGATCACCTCTTCAACTTTTTTGCTCTGCGGTGTACCCATCTTAGCAGTTAATTGACTGTCACACACACGTATTTACACAGCGAAACGAACAACAGGTTTAATTACTCGTCCGAATCTCGACACCTTGCTATTACTGCTTACGTTCGGAGTTCCCTTATTAGGAGCATCTGTGCATTCTTGTGATATGATCGTATACGCTGGCTTTAGCCGATCGATGCTTACAACTTTCGGCGTATCCGATTGCATAATTTTAAAATATTTCTCTGTCTTGTTAATTACTTTGAAGGGACCCATGTATGGTTGAGTAAGTGGTTTGGACACCTTGTCAACCCGTACAAATACATGTGTGCAGTGTTTTAAGTCAGGGTGTATGAAAATTTTTCCTTGATGTAACTCTTTTCTTGGAACGGAAGCCAAATGCGATATTTTTCTACGCAGCTCTTGCACAAATAAAATATTGTCGGAGGTTTCTAGCCTTAGCGGCTGAAAAAAATCTCCAGGCAATCGTAGTGCTTCTCCTAATACCATCTCTGCAGCGCTGGTTTGCGTATCGTCTCTCAGACATGCTCTTAATCCCAATAAGACTGTTGGTAACTCCGAAACCCATTGGTCAGTGTTGCCTCTGCACATAAGCGCAGCCTTCAAGGATCGATGCCATCTCTCCACGATGCCATTCGACTGGGGGTGATAAGCCGTTGTTCTAAATTTTCTGATACCCATCCTCTTGGCTAAGTGCCTAAACAATTGCGATAAGAAAGTAGAGCCTTGATCTGTAGTTAAATTTAAAGGACATCCGAATCGTGATATCCACCCAGAGTACATGATATCCGCTACTGTCTCGGCTGTGATACCCTTGACTGGGTAGGCTTCCGGCCATCCAGTTTTTCTATCCACCATTGTCACAACATATCGATGGCCTTGACAATATGTAAGTGGTCCAACTATATCCATATGTAGATGATCAAATCGGTCGCTATTTACAAAATGTCCATGGGGTGACATCGTATGTCTTTGTATTTTTGATTTTTGGCAGCCTACACAGCCTTTGACCCATTCAGTCACGTCTTTGTTCATGCCATGCCATATATATCTATCTTGCATCATTTTTCTCGTTGCACGCGTGCCCGGGTGACTAATTCCGTGCACCGCGTTGAAAGCTGATACGCGAAATTCCTTAGGCAAATATGGGCGTGCTCGGTTCAAAGACATATCGCAATGAATTGCTTTGTTACAATTTGGTACTAATATTTTCTTAAAAGATAATGACTTTGATTTCATTAGATTATGCAGCTCAAAATCATTATTCTGTGCTTCGGCTAACTTTTCATAATCTAGCGGTGATGGTATGTCAATTTCTGATATTCTTGATAAACAGTCAGCAACAGTATTTTCCAAGCCTGAAATATGCCTTATTTCTGTACAAAATTGCATTATGAAGTCAAGTTGCCGTATTCTACGTGGTGTGTCATTTTTACTAATTGTGTTTTTACGTAACGAGTAAACTATTGGTTTGTGATCGGTGTATACTATAAGAGGTCTGCCTTCAATAAAAGGTCGAAAATGCTTAATAGCAATATAAATGGCCAACAACTCTCTATCATACGTTGAGTAACGTTGTTTGTTTCACTCAATTTCGATGAAAAAAATCCTAATGGTTTCCATGCCTCGCCTTCTTTTTTGCTGCAATACAGCACCTGCACATGTGCTGGAGCAGTCCGTCATGAGAGCAATCGGTGCATCCGGCGATGGGAATGACAGTGTAACTGCGCTTTTAAGGCTTTGTTTACACTGTTCAAACGCCTCAATACTTTCATCCGTCCATGGAATCGAACTCTTGTCTCTCTTTTTACAATTATGGAGAAATACGTTTAATTTCGCTTGGATTCCGGCGGCCTTCGGTAAATGTCTTCTATAAAAGTTGATCATTCCGAGAAAACGACGAAGTTCTTCCACTGTCTTTGGCCTTGGATATTCAGAAATGACCTTGACTTGATCGTCCAATGGCTTCATGCCTTCCTTTGACATCCGGAATCCCAAAAAATCTATTTCAGTCTTGCCAAATTCGCACTTTGCTAAATTTATTGTAATACCATATTTATCCAATCTCTGTAATACCTCTCTTATGTGTTGCCTATGCTCATTTTTCGTTGATGACGCTATAATAACGTCGTCAATATATATATAAATACAAAGTTAAGATTCCGTAACACTTCGTCTTGCATGAAA